TTTTTTTTTTTGCATATTTATTTGTCAGGAGGTAGAATAAAATTCAGGTCTTCATTTTTTTCCCCCCCCAAACAGTGACTGAGAAAAATTCACCATTGTCATTTAGCTTGCTGGGTAGTGCAAATGCATAACTCAATGAATAAACATACAATTTGAGTGAAGCGTGTTGTTTCATTTATCAACTCTATTTCTGGGGTAAATGAATGCAGCCTAGCACAGCAGGTGAATTACACAAGTATAGAGTCGTAAGCCTTTGGGTAGGGGCCAATGCCCTCCATTTCCCTTTGTTGTTAAAAATATTTGCCAAAGTCTGAAGACATGGCAAATGCCGGCGATGCAGCCTATGCAGATGTAGCATCTCCTGTTGCTGCCACAATTAGCCGCTGAGAATAGGCACAGGGCCAGCCAACACTAGTCTCAGCACATTCGAAACACTTCAGGTAAACATCACAATAAGCTAGGAAGCAGAAATTAGAAATTGTTTTGTACCGCAACACAGTTGCTATAGAGACTGTTGCTAATTAACTGCACTCTACCCCAAGATAACAAAGGGCTTAAGGGCACTCGGGGCAGCTCCTCTTGTGATGAGCTCTGTGCATGGAACACTATGCCATCCTCAGGGATTCTCAACTACAAAATACCTGTCTCCTTGTAGCCAGCTTTCATCCAAGATGCCATGAGAGCATTTGTGTAGAGCCTGTCTGTTTTTCTCTTCATCTTCGACAGCATCATATTAGCCTCTCCCCTCTTAAAAGACAAATCACTGGATGTTTAACACGAATCAATCCCTAGCAGCAGCACAGAGGACCACTTCATTGGTCACTTGTCTTTGATGGTATTCCAAAAGGGCGTACTGTTAGCAAAGACTATAAATGGAAAATCTGACGAATTCTGCACAAAAATTACATTCAAAGGTATAACATCCAAACTCAGCAGTTTGGATTTTGATTGCTTCCTCTCAGTTGACTTCTCTAGATACAAAAAACATTTTTTTCCCCAAACAACAGCACATGCCATACACCTCTACGCCACAGTGAGCAGGACAGGTGTACAGTGTGTACTGATTCTGCCACGGGTAAAAGTGTGGATCGCAGGACTTGATAAGGTCCTGGGGAATAATGACATAATTGAAACCAGAAGTGGTAGCAGTCCACACAGAGCTACCATGGTTGGGTTCCTTCAGAGTTAATAATAGTTTCACAGTTCTATCATTAAACGATGAATTGCAAAACAAACAGGGCATGGGTGACACCTGACCTGTTGATTTGGCAACAAGCTGCACTATCCATTGTTGGTTAGCTGTACAGCTAGTGGTAGAAATGACTGTTTAGTTACCTACATCCAAAAGGTTTTGAGCATTGCTAACATCAGTTCATTTATAAAACTGGACATGTGTTGCACGAATCCATGCCTCGATCCATATCAAATTTTTGGTTCTTCCTTTCCCCATTTGCCACCTCACCAACAAGATCCATGAAAATCATTCTGGCAGTTTTTGCACAATCGTGCTAAAAAAAAAAAAAAAAAAAGCCACACAGCAAACAGAAACATTACCTCATAGACCCTTAATGAGCTCTTCTTTTTCATTAAGCTTTCACCCAGAATGCTTCTCAGAGAGCTCTATAGTGGGACCAAGTGTACTCAGGCCTAGTCTTCAAAACTTCCCGACCGTAATTATACAGTCATTGTGAAAAATGCCCATTAACCTCGAATAATATATTACCAATCACTTCACCTGGACTACTGTCACTGTGTGTGTTCTTTCTCTTCTATGCATGTATGAGAGAGTTCATTTGGCTTAGGCTCACTACACCCAAAACCTGCTACGGTGGGTAAAATATTTGTTGCCTGAATTACTCATGACATTCTTATCTAAATAAACATGCTTGTAAACACAAAGGAAAACATTACAGCCATGTCCATACAGGGTACAATAAATAGGTCTGTAATAAGTCTGTACAGAGGTTAGCGATTAGCTTAAGAAGAAAACAATCCTCCGTTCGAAACTACTGGCCAGTCTGGGCTTTTTTGTGTAGAGTCCACATGTTCTGCCTGTGTCATCGTGTTTTTATTTCTTACAGGTACTCCGGCTTCCTTTCACAAGTGGGTAAGTACAGTGCTGTTAAAAGTATTTGTTGTCTTAGGTTTTACATAATTGATCTTTCAGCCTACTTCACTTTGTCTGAAAGGTTCTATTTAAGTGATTTCTTGATTCATCTGGCCTAGCATTTATCAAAGATAATTTATGATTTAACATGGGGGGCAATTACTCTCCCCCCCCCAACATAGGACCAGGTAGATTTCTCTCTTTTTTTCTCTCTTTTTTGTCTAAAAAATAATAATTAATCATTGAAAACTTCATTTTGTCCAATATTACATTTTGTTTGATGATCAGAAATGTATGGCTAATATGCAAAAAATCAGAATGGCAAACGCTTTTCATGGCACTGTGTACATTTGAGGATGAACTGTTGTCTGTGTTTCCCCTGCAGTAGACTTGATCAGGGTGTACCCTACCTGTCACACCCCATGACAGCTAGGACAGCCGTGAATTGGATAAGCGGGCAAGAAAATGAATGACTGGTAAATAAAGACAATTATTGTGACAGGCATTACTATATAACCGTTATTGTTCCTTGATTGATTTGAAAAAGTCAACAATAGCCTTTCCTATACATAGATTCTTTCTTGGGTGGCCCACAAGGAATCCATATTAACAGACAAACAAGAATAACTGTTAACTTTTTTTTAACATTTCATGTTCATCTGTCAAAATATCTCCACCCATGATCGACATAATAGTGGACAATCTGTTACTGTCATTTTAAAACTTCAAGCCTCGCTAACCTGCTAGCCTCATGTTTCATGCTTTAACCACCAGCTGGTTCACCCGCACTTGCTCGTGCACGCGCGCCCACGCTGCAAATCGAAGTCTGTGGGAAACACTAAAGATTGCTATGAAAGTGATGAACTCCTGCAACCTATTCAAATTAAAACTATTTTCTTTTTTGTCTTTAAGTGAAACCCACAGTGGTTTTAGGAAAGTGTCACATTGGCATTAAAAAGCAGCAACACATTGAAGGGCTGAAGAACAAGCATTGCCACTTGAGAAAGCACCAGTACAAAAGACCAGCAGCAGTGTGCTCCCCAGTGAAATCGGCTGAAAGATATCACCAACATCATATTTTTCAGGTACTGCATCTTCAATTATTAAAAAAATTAAAACATTTTCCCCCCAAAACTGAACAGAAGCATTTAGCTCCTTTTTTGCTACAATTCTGCAACATTATTATGCAGTAGTAGCCGTCCCTGCCAAACCTTTTCAGCATCTACACATGAAAATCATTTTACTTCTGTGACAAACAGTTCTCATTCAGTTAGACCAGGGCACAGCCCAAACACTCAGCTACTGACGAGCCATCTGTAACCAGATATGGAGCACATCTGGCAGGCCCAACCGCTATTCAACCCTGCAGTCGCCTCTTCAGCAGATTTTAAGGTGGGTTCAACACCACAATAGCAAAACATTTGTTTGGGTTTGTTGCTGGGGTTTCGTAATCTATCTTAGACAATAGCCTTGTTGGGAAATGTAAAAAGAAAACATGCTATGGGCAGCGGCGTTTTGCGACGGTTTGTGGTAAATCCATACCAGTGAGAATAATTTTGTTAATTGGCACAACTTACATATAAGATTTTGTAATTAAGCATTTGCCACAGGAAATGAAAATTAAAAATTAAAACTTGTCATAAAGAAGAAATCAAAAATACCACAATCTGAAGACATTTCAGAAAAATATTTTTATAATACTGAGAATGTCAACTGAATCGAAAAGAGGCTTACACTTAGCATTGCTCATTTATAACTCTAGAAAAATAATTTTTCATGCTTTAATCCACAGCAGAGGGGCAGCTTCTCTGGCAGCCTCGCTCTGTGTGGGGACCAGGGATTTGGAGGGAGAGACAGTGGGGAGGATCCTGTTGTTTGAGCCCACATCTTTGTAGTGGCAACTGAGGGGATTCGCTGCAACTCCTAGAATTTACATTTTGTTTGGCCGGAGGGGTCACATGACAGCTGCAACCCAATGCTCAGAGGAGCTTTCTGCTTTCACTTGACACTGACAGGCTGTGAGACGGTCCAACACCGCAGAGAGAAAATATTCCCTCTTTCCATGACATCACCCAGGCCAGCCAGGAACAGGGGGGTGGGGGGAGGAGAGGGGGCACAGCTGGTGGCAGCCGTAGTACCATCTGCTACTGACTAATAGTTCATGCTGCTTTACTTATAAACTTGCACTTCTGTGAACCAGAGTGACGGCTCCATGGTCATAGTCACCATCAGTCTTATGTCGTTCGGCACAGCCATAACTGAAGCATGTCTTGCCTTTTTAAAGGAGCAGCACTTTGGAAAATACCCTTACTCACAACTGATCCATACAAACACTCAACAGGCTGGTCTTGATAAGGTTTACGAGCAAGTCTGAATCACTTCCCACAAAATGCCTGTAAAAACACAACTTGTCGCCTTAATTACATTTAATTTCAGGTAGATGTTTCCCTATGGTGATTAGCTGCTGATACTAGCTTTGTATTTAGATATAAGAGATATATATATATATAGATATATATATATCTATATCTCTATCTATCTATCTATATATATATATAGATATATATATATCTATATCTCTATCTATCTATCTATATATATATATTTAAATAGTCCTCAAAACCTCCAAAAGCTTCTTAGTTCTTAAAATAAAAGCAGCAGAGATAATGAATGTGAAAACTCACACTTACACATGCAACAACTTTTACTCACCATACATCTTTCCCTCATCAGAGAGGATGATTTTCCTGCGCCCACAAGGAGGATAGATGGCCAGGGCCTCCTGGAAGCTCTGTTCAATGTCAGGGCTCCACACCCCCTCTGCATCATTGTCCACAGGCTTGTCTGCCGAGTCGCTCATCCTCTCCATGTCCTCGGCAGGGCTCTCGCTGCCGCTCCAGCTACTGGGATCAATTGTGGCGGTTGAGCTCTCCAAGCTGAAGCTTGGAGCAGACTAGGGAGAGACCTGGAATTCCCAAAAAAAATCACAAAAAAAAAACCAACCACAAATCATGACTACTGCAAAAGAAAAGCAGGGAACCATCTTCAAAAACAGAATGCATACAGTTAGCAAAGAGCACAATATGGAGTGGAAGCAGCTAAAGAAGCTTGGACATCACCAAGAAAGTTGTTGAATTGATTTACAATGGATGTTATGGGTTTAAACAGCTGAACATTTTCTCTCATGGACTTCCTGCTAATTAAATGGCAATGCACAGTGTAAAGGTCTGGGAAATTTATTTTTTCCCCTTTATTCAGCACCTGTGCAACTGCTCTTAGCTCTATATATTCCTATGAGCTGTAACAAGTACAAAGTCAATGTTGTCAGCAAAGTTGCTAGTTTGATACCTCTAGGGAAAAAGCATCGACATGCCTCATTACCACCGGCGCTGAGCTAAAGCGCCCAGTCTCAAAGTCTTTAGTGGACAACAGGAAGACTGTGGTTGTAGCTGGCAGCTTGAAGGTGTAAATTTGTATACCAGTGACTGTGAAGAGAAACATTTATATGAAAACAAAAATAAATGAAAGACAAAGAAAAAAAAAAAAAACATTGTGACTACTAATCCGTAGCGCTAACATCTCCAGTCAGCCGCAGCAACTATAGTGGCATAAGGGAATCAGACATTTGAGCAACACATAGGAGCTGGAGCCAAGCTGCTCACACAGCTGGAGAAAGTCTCATCTCACCAGTGGCTACTGACAAGACCAACAAGCTCCTGGTGAACATGCAGCTAATAAAGAGGCGCCTGTCATTGTGCCAAGACAGTAATATCAAGTAACGTGAAACCTGTAACACAAACTATTCTATATAGTATATACACATTACAACATTTATGAATGTTCTGCCTGGTATTTTAAAGCGTAATAAGATCCAGCACTGTGGTCAGTATGAAACGTTTTGTCTTCTTCTGAAAACACTCAGCACAAAGTGACATCAAGAGCCAGGGTCTGATCAAGGACTCCAAGGGACGTTTGATGAGGTGGTTAAATAACCTAAAGAAATATCAGAATTCAAATACCCATTTGTTCTGTATTGAGCGTGGGCAGTGAGTCTACAGGTTCCTCGCAGATCATTCAATATGTAAAGGATGAATTTATACTTGGTATGTATAAGAAAGTATGATGTTTAACAAGCTAATAAAGAGCAAGAACACAAAACTGTAAATGTAGACTTTAAGAGGGAACAAAGACAGACCTTAACCTTAATGCTAACCTTAGGCAATTTAAAAGTCTTTTTTGGGGGTTTTTATTAAACGTTTTTCCCAAGTTTTAACAATCAGAATGGAGATAAATAATAATCCTGAAACACATTTTAAAAACTAGTCCATTTGGCCTTTCTCCAAAATATAGAGTTAGGGTATGTTTATCATCTTAAAACATTAGAAGATTGCTAATGTCCTCTTAGAATTTAGTATTTTCCAGATGTGCTAAATCATTGACAGCATCACAGCTAGGAAGTCAAACACAGCTCAGGCAAACAGGTTAGACAGCATGCATGGAAGAATAAGACATCCTGAAAGGCAAGCTATATAGCCAATTCCTTGAAAGGTATACTTTGCAGATAACAAATAGTTAAACCACTGATGAGTTTGTATAGGTCTCGTATGACGGATAGGTGACGAGGAATGACCCTGATAGGCTGCATAAACCAGACTTACTTCAGCCTTTTGGATCCAGATCAATGCGGTCGTCTACACTGTGCTTCTGCTTCAGTCAGCCTGTGTAAAGTGCTTTGTTTAGACTTCACTAAAACATACTAATTCGATAACTGGATATTGGGCTATGGGCTCAATAAAGCAATACAGTACTGTGAATCACAAATCCAGTGTTTATACTCATTGAGTAAAAAGTGTGTCATCCCCACACATCTGTTGTAAAAGTAAGCAAATTCGGCAGTGAGCAATTTTCTTTCTTCTTCATGCCTCTCTTAAAAAACGCTTTGAAAAATCAGAGTGTATGCTTAATTCACAATCAAAAGTAATTTCACATTTGACATTATATGCTAACAACTGACTGAGGTTTCTCTATGGCCCTAATCCCTCCACACTTTCCAGACAACTGCTTCCTCCCTGAGCAAGATCCTATTCAAGCAGCACAAGCTGTCAGGAAGTGGGAATAGTAGCATATGTTTCTTCCAGCATGTCAGTTCATGAGGGGGAAAGGGGGGATGGGAGCAAGCTGTTGGGGAAAAAAACTCCCAGAGAGCAGAGGGAGAGAGAGCTTTTACTGAATTCCGTTTTTGTGTGCTGACTGCTGACGCTGCAGAACCAACTCACAAACTGATGAGGGAGGGGAAACGTTCCCATTTCAACCACTAAAGGGCTGAACCTCTTTCTGGATGTGCTCCTCTTAACCCAACCAAGTGATTATCTGTGCTCATAATCGAATCCAGCTTACATTTTTATTGCAAAATATCTTTCTGAAGAAAAACGCTCGCCCGTGTCCTCGTGAAGCTCGAGCAGCAAGCGCCCAGTCTCCTCGTATCTAGTCTAATGAAACATTCTTTCCAGATTTGTAAAAGCACAACTGCAACAAATCGAATCCAAGTAAAAATAAATATACCTCAACTTTAAAATCTAATCCTCTTTCATCAATAAGCTGACATGCATGTTTTGTGTCTTCTGTTATGTTTTGTAGGAACATTGGTTCTCTGTTGTGGTATGCTATGGTTGGTAAAGTGATACTTTAATCAGTCTTTAGAGACAGTGTGGTTTTCTCCATCATGCTTCCCATCCTGTGCATGCGCCTTCCTCGAAACATTGCAAAGACCAAAAACGTTTGAAGAGCTATAATAACATCATATTAGCGATGCCTGATGGAAAATGTTGGGCTTAAAATGTATAAATATGAGCTTCATGAAAGCCTATAATGCGTTTACAATGAGCACATAAGGGCTTTGTAATATCTTGTAACATCTGTCATCGTCAACATGAGAATTAAAAAAAGAAATATGCATCTGGATGAGAATCTATTGAAATTCACCAAATTACTAACAACCGAGGACACATCTGGAATGGGGATAATTAAAGTTAGTGTGGTATTTAACTGCTAGGACAGTGAGTGCTGACAACATGGGTGATTTATTCTCAAACCAACTTCTGAGTCAACCAAAGCAAGTGTCTATTAAGGCTTCTGTTACCACAGTTTTGTAGTGAACAATATTTCCAATATTATAAAATTTGTTTATGATATTTCAAATAACTGCTACTCTCTATTCTTACTACTTAATCTCACTTCTTGGTGCTTTCTAATACAGCAATACACTCATCTTAGACACTAACGCATGAATAATTTAATTAAAATAACTTTCTCTTTAACTTTTTTTAAATAAAAGCACCATCTGAATACATCTGACAACAAATGGGTAGAAAATCAGGCCAGCTCACAATCATTTATCAGCACTTTTCCTGTGATGTTCACAATATCAGCGAACTGAGGGAGAAGAAAACAAACTCATTAAACCTGAACATGAACTGCCTTATTAAAAGCATCAATGTGTCAGAGTTCAAACCTGTGGAAGAAGAGCCTATTCTACATCTCACCTTGGAATAAAACCATAAGTAAAATGTATATCTCCATTAACCTTTTGATTATTAAAAATTCCAGACTTAGCTCTTATTAACAGAGAAACAAAATAACAGCTGGATTCATTTGCCCCGCCCATACTTTGAGACATATTTAAATGCATTTAGAGAGGAAAACTTTTTTTTTTTTTTTAAATATCTTGAAGCTGCTGAAATTGCTGAGCATGTCTCACTCTGCAGACAAGCATTAATGCTTCTTTTCTGCAGAAATTACTCCACTAACAATGTTTCTCCACAGGGCTTTTTCATAATATGAGAGCAAATGTGTCTTCTGGATGCTGATGATTAGCTGAGGGAAAACAAAGCAAGTCAAGCAGCACAAACAACACGCTGAACCTGGCAACAAAGAATAAAATGAGTTTAAACTTCAAGCCCACTCTCAAAAGAGAGGGAAGAGTGTCTAAAGGGCACACAGAGGCTCTAAAACCATCACTTTTGGCCAGAAACTATGTAGCTGAGTGTTGATAATCTGCATCTTCCTTCAGGTCATCCATCCAAAACTACTGGCACAGGCTGCTGGCACACAACACTATCTAGATGGATTTACAACAACTTTAAAAGGATCTGAAAGAGAGAAAAAAAAAAAAAAAAACAATCCCAAACTGGCTTTTACCTTCTTGTCACTTTTTCCGGCGGCACGAGCAGTTTTATCTTTGTTCACCTGTTTCGAACAGAATAATCTGAGTCATTTCTTGCTCTTGCTTTTCTTGCAAATCTGTACAAATTTTTATTCCAATGCTTTCTTAAACATGCCTAGTAAACTGCAAAGCATTATTAATGCCATCACTCTTCTTAGAAACTTCCCTTAACTTGAACTTGGCGGCTGAAAATGACAGATGTATGGCGACTAGATAAAGAGATCATTCAGGTTCGCCAATGCTAAAAATATCCATATGCACATTTACATGAACACCACATACACACACTGCATAGAAATGCTGTGAATTCTTGTACATATTGTAAATGTATTCTATATGCATGTGCACGTTGTTTGCATTTCGTCATTTCATTGTTTGAGTAATGTACTTTTTAATGACAATAAAATTGAATTTCACCTAAACTAACATATAATTTGATAAGTTAAACATTACTTGTTAACCCTCCAGCAAACAAGCTATAGTAACTATACTGATTGAGTGGGGTAATTCATGACCCCATAATATTTTATACGCTATCCATTTCACATAAAACGTTGTCATCATAACAGCATGTCCTTTAATGTAGCAGCTCTTCTAAAACTTTCTAAACAATAAGCAGTCAACATTTTCCATCATTTTTATCCAACAATGAATGAATCAGCCTGATTGTTTTCATGATCACTTTGGCTGTTAAAGCATCGGCCTCTTAGCCACGGGCCACAGAAACACTTGACCATGTAATG